CAAGGCTAGGGTACAAAAGTAGTGTCAACCTCGGATATCCTCGATATCTTGGTATTCGGTTATTAGACCAAGGACCAAAATAGATTGGATTGAGCTACAACTCAATCCCACTGTGGCCACAGATTTCATGCTATCACCATCTACAAAATTACTCAGTGAGATAATTTCTCCCATACCTGAGAGTGATGAATCCTTTGTCGATCCACCATAGAGTTGATACACTTCTCGATGTAGCCAATCACTACCGTTGTGATAGTTTTGAGTAAAACTACATTGGGCTAGTGTCAAACCACACCAATTGGTGCACAAGGTGCTCTGGTGATCTGAAGTCTAAGGATCACATGCACCACCATCCGTTAGAGGACTTATTCCACAGACACTAGGGTTACCATCTATGTCAAATCCTTTAGTGGGTTCGTCTGGTGAACTCACCTATGGCAAGCACTCATGTGTTGCACCAGGTTGTTTGCAAACAACCTACAAAAGTGAGATCAGTCATTGCCTTATGATAGGGTCATTCAACACTATGATACCCTTACCGTATTATATGTGTCCTTGATCATAATAATATTGGGGCTACAGACAATTCTAGAATGGCCACCATATGCAATCATAGAGTTCTCACTATCAGGATTTGAAACAATTGATACCCTCATCACAATTCTACCATCCTAAAGACATATATCATTTTCTTATATGAATGTAATCAGATCACATGATATAGATAAATGCCTTTATTGATAATAAAACATGATGACAAAGAGTCAATGTACAAAATAGGATTGGCTATAGGGCACCTATTCTAACAATCTCCCACTTGCACTATAGCTAATCATTCATGTATTTAATACCAAATGACCTTAAGTGCTTTTCATGCTTCTACTATGATAGAGGCTTCGTCAATGGATCGGCGAGATTATCATCAGTATGTACTTTGCTAATCTGCACATCTTTCCTCTCCACCATTTCTTTAATGAGATGAAATCGCCTAAGTATGTGTCTGGACTTCTAGTGAGATTGTGGTTCCTTTGCTTGACCTATTGCTCCATTGTTGTCACAATAGACATCTATTGGATCAACAATCATGGAAACCACACCAAGTTCGGTGATGAACTTCTTAATCCAAACCGCCTCCTTGGTTGTGTCAGATAATGTGATATACTCAGCCTCCATTGTAGAGTCTCCTACAGTGTCTTGTTTGGAGTTCTTCCAACTCACTGCAGCTCCATTGAGACAAAATACAAACCTAGATTGTGAGCGATAATCATCTTTATCTGTTTGGAAACTAGCATCACTATATTTTCTTACAGTAAGCTCATCTTTCCCTCCATAAACCAAGACCATATCCTTAGTCTTTATAATACCCACATTCAAAAATATGGTAGGGATTATTTTATAGTCATAGTGACTATATTTAACTAGTTTTATAGAGGAATTCCATAAAAGTTTCAATAGGGGCAAAATGGTCATTTCACACAGAATCACGTGTTCAAGTGAAAAGTGAGTATGATAAATATAATGTATTAAGTGTGCTAGCCATGAGAATAGAGTGGTAGAAAGGTTATGGACAATACACGTGATGTGATGCCGAGATAAATACGTGTTTGTAAAGTAATAGAAAGAAATTAAAGAATAAGGGTAAAATGGTCTTTTCACTCACAACTAGATGAAAAAGTGGGGAGTGAAAATGACCAAGAACATGTGTTAAATCCATTGAAAGTGAGGGTATATCGGTAAATGCATGTATGGCATAATTGGAATTATCATAAAAGTGCAAGGGCAAAATGGGAATATATATATATATATAAACTATACCCTAGCCATTCCATCCCTTGTACACGCCACCCCTCATCCAATTTCTCTCAAACTTCTTCACCAAATTTCAAAGAGAATTCATAGGAATTGGCTTAAATTTTTGTAGATTTTCAATCCTAAAGCATCCAAAGGTAAGATTCTAGCACAAAGGTGTGTGATTAAACTTTAAAGTTTTAAATTCTTATGGTTTTATATGATTTAGGTCCAAGAGGAAGAGAATTTTAGCAAAGGGAGGTTATATCATTAGTGTTGCACAAATTCAAGGTAAGTAAATCCAATTTTAGTTTTGATTTGAGCAATAATTGTGTAGATTGATTCTTGTATGTTTGTATGTGATTGTATGGTGAGAATTATTAGCTGTTTTAATGTTGAATGATGTGTAAAATTCCAGCCATGAGAAGTAGTTCATGTGTATGTGGTGATTTGGTGGAATTATGGATGAAATATGGAAGAATTGTTGATGAAATTTTGAAGAGTTGAATTCGACCAAATTTGAAGTTAAATTTAGTGAGTTTTTGCTCCAATTTTGGTGGATTTGGAGAGATGTGGAAGTGTGGCCAACTAAGTATTTGCATGTGCATGTGAATTGTTTGATGAAAATTCAAAGAGAAATGCATGCATGAGTTTGTTAAATCTTATTGAAGAAATTGTTAGAGAAAGGAAAGAATTGGAGTTGAAAGGTTATGTTAGGCTTAACCAAGTGTAAATTTTAGTATTCAAGAGTGCATTTTGTTATGCCAAAATTTAGAATATCACTTGGTCATGTTAGTTCAATGAGATAAATGGCTTTTAGTGCATGGTTCAAGTTACTTGAACCTTTAGTATTTCTTCAATAGCACATTTTATTTAGTTATTGAATTAGAAATTGTGAAATTTATGACTTTGGGAAAGTGTAAGCAGGGATTTACATGTTAAATTGTTACTTTGATATGACATTGTTGATAGTAAAGAATGGTAGATTATGTCATGACATATCAATATGCCATAATAAATTCTCAAGTTTGTGTACTTGAATTTAGAAAGATCATCCAAATAATGGCATGGCCAAATGAGTATATTGTTGTTTCTTGTTTTGAGATTAATTACAAACAATATGTAATAAGTGATTTTATTGTAGAAAGAATAGAAAAACTTTCCCAAGTATAGATATCAAAAGAAACATCAAAGAAATAGAAGTTTGGTTTATGTATTAAATACATGACCATTTTAGAAATTGATTGGTATGAGTATAGTTTTCATGCTTGGTTATATATTACAAACTATAGAATTGTGCTAGAAGTTCTTGAGAATTGGTTGTATTGGCCAAAAGTTTAGTTAAGAATGTTAGAAAGAAATTAGAATTTAGCCAAAGTATATATGTTGTGCCATATGTTAGATTGAATTTACAATGATTAATATGACAATATAGATTAATGTATAGAATGTAGCCAAAAGAAAAGAAGAATGAAGGGCATATATAACAATTGAAGTTGATGGTCATGTAAGAGAATGCAAATTTATGGCATTAAGATTTGTATTTAGAAAGTTGTACAAGACATGTTTGTTACATTAGAAAAATATTAGAGAGTTGTTTAATGACATGGTCATGTGACATATGAGTTTGAGAAAAACGAGTAACATAATTGGGCAAGTTAGTAGACTTAATACCTAAGTTGTGGCATAGATTTTTATAGAAGAAATTAGATTGCCCAAAATGTAGAATTCATTCCCTAGTTAAATTGTGCCGTTTTAATATCTCACTAATAGAATTATAGAAGACTAGAATTTGTGAGAGCGTGTACATTTTACATAGCATGATAGAATTGAAGAATACAAAATTATGTAGAAATTATAGAATCGCATACGTACACACGATGCATGGAATTCAGAAATAAAGAATAAAATAGAAAATGTTTAAGTTAAGCGTGTTATTGGAATAGAACTTTGGGCATTCCAGAAAAGTATATAAATAAAAGCCTTAGAATTAATAGAGTACATGCTAGAGTCAGACACGTATTTTGGGATCATGCATAGACAGCATATAAATGTATGACATAGCATAGCATATATTTCAGAAATTTTATAATTATTTGAAATGTCTAGCTAGTTTTTTTTGCAGATTTACAGAGCATGTTTTCAAAGGGCTGTTGCGATGGGGAACCTGTGAGCATTCGCTACGTTAGGGAACTCTTGGAAGATGAACAGACGCAACTCGCCGGAATCTGGCGGCGGCGATCGGCGAAGAGGAGATCCAAGGGTATAGGAAGATAGATCAGGTGATGGAAATGATGGATCTGCTGGTTGGAAGGTAAGAAGTCGCCGAAAAATGCACCAAAAATAGAGAGGAAGCTGAACGGTCATGGCAGCGATTTGGCGACTGAACGGTGGCAATGGAGCTTGGAGGAAGGTGGATCTGATCGTGGGAAGGATGGCTGGCACCTGGAGAAGCTGGATCAACGTCGAAAAAGCTCCAAGGTCGCTAGAAAATGAAGAGATGTGATGGTGGGAGGTGTAACGTCGCCGGCGTGGATTAAATGGTAGTGGAGGGTAGGATGATGATGATCGGTGAAGAGGAAGCTAGAACATCGTCGAAAATGGCAGAGGAAGAGTCGTTGGCGGTGGATTGTAGATTGGGGTGAGCGGCGCTACTGGAATGCAGTCCTTCACCTCCTTTTTATACAAAAAGTGGAAATTCTCAATGTGGTCACTACATGATTGAAAAGTGACAAAATCAACCCCTAAAAATATGACAGTTTACCCCCTGAACAGCATAAATGAGACAAAATCACCCCTAATCCATAAACCACAACCTAATATCAACTCATACAATTTCCAAAATCATTCCAAACATGTTAAATTCATAAGAAAACATTAGGATACGATTTTTCGTGAATAAATTCATAAATTTCTTAATTGCCTCAATATAATTTCATTTTAATCGCACATAGGGTCTTTTTATCATCAAAATATAGTCACTTTCATGACTCTTAACAATCTCTACTTGAGTGTTGATCTAATTGTTCGAAAACATACAAATAATTTTGTATAAAAAAGGAATAGTCTGACATGATTGTGAATTTTACAGGTAGATAGCAAATCGAGCGGGCTTTGAGCGGCACAGATAACTTTAAAATAGCTCGCTGGCGTAGTGAATCTCCAATTGCTTTTTTAGTGCATAGCAAGGACCTCTCAACAGTCTCTCGAACATGAACCAGCCATTAGATTCACAAGAAACATACGCATTACAACCCAACACTGATCCAAGAATCCTCCACGCAAGAGTTCTAAAATCCACCCACATAGACTATTTAACCTATCACAACTTCATCACTCTCTACTCCAAAGCAAACCTCAATCTTCTCTCTTACTCTCTCCGCTTCTTCCTCTCCATGCTCCGCCATTCCACTCTCCCCTGCCAGCGCACCTTAGCCTCCCTCTTCAAAATCTACGCCTTTCTCCCTCACGCCTTCTCCTTTGGCCTCTCCCTCCACTCTCTTTCTCAGAAACTCTCCCTCCAAAACAAGCCCTTCTGCAGCTCAACTCTCATTAAGTTCTACTCTCGCTTTCGCTCCCCGGACAATGCCAAACAGGTGTTCAACGAAATTCAAGAGAGAGGAGCAGGGGCGGATTCAGCCCCTTTGAGGGTAGGCTCTCAAGCTTTAAAGAAAAATTATTAATATATAGACCCACAAAAATTGATATTAACATATATACCCAGGCTATCCTCGAATTTAAAAAAAACGAGAATTATTATATATATATCTAGACCCACAAAAACTTGTTATTAATATATATTTTCCAAGCCCACATCATATTAAAAGTTTAAAACTCTCTCCACTCTTCTTTCGGCTCCACTTGCTTTTTATGATTTTATCCCCAAAATTTTTTACTCCCTCATTCTTCGTTCTCTTCCTTATGCTATTCAATCTTAAAACTTTTAAGACTGAAATTGTTGAAGCTTTCACTACTCAAGATGTCACAATTAGCTCTGTTTTCTATTTTATCAATTTTAGGTATGTGTATTGTTCATTTCAATTTAGTTTATTTTAGGGTTGAATCGTGCATTTTTTTTTTTTTTTGAGGTTTTTTTTTTTTTCTAATTTAAGGGGAAAAGACATGGATCTTGTGAGTTTATTTTGTGTTTTGTATCTAAGAATGAACCTGTTTCCCCAAATTAAAACCTTAACTATATTTTAAAAGACGTTATTCTTCACCCTTCACCCACCACTTTTCTATATTTCAAATATCACCATCCTGCTACTCAAAATAAATAAAGAAATTTGAGTTACTATCTATGTTTATATCAAAAAAAAAAAAATTATTTATTAATTCATATTAAAAGTCAACGTAATGTTGACTTGATATAAATTTTGGTTGACTTTATGTTAGGTTAGGTCTGGTCAAAGTCATGAAAATTTATATTATAATCTTTGGAAACAAAAAAAAAAAAAAAAAAAAAAAAAAGATTAAAAGATGGTTTTGCTCAAGGTTTACTTAACACATTTACTCAAATTTTTGCTTCTCATTGAATTTATTCAAATAGGAAAGTATTGCGTTGTTGCATTCTTTTTTCTCAGGTTCTTGATATTGTATTATTTTCTTTGCTTAAGGTTTCATGATTTTTTTTTAAGTTTTTACTAGTTGTTTAGCAAACAATGACGGAGCCGCAGAGGCCCCCCCTCGACAAAAATCTTCGATCCGCCACTGGAGAGGAGTTCTGTTACTCGGCAATGATCGTGTGTTTCGCGCAGAACTCTCGTTGTTTCGATTCTTTATCAGTCTTTGCTGATATGAGGAGCTGTGATGTGGGGTCCACGATGTACAGCGTGTCTGGAGCTTTGCGCGCAGCGGCTGAGCTGGCGGCAGTGCAGGGTGATTCATGGGCATGCCGTTGTTGCGGGTTTAGACAAGAATTTGATTGTGGGAACCGCTTTGGTTTATGGATACGGAAAAACTGGGCTTGTGTTTGATGCAAGAAGGGTTTTTAATGAGAATTTGAGTGAATTAAATATCGTTGCGTTGAATGCTATGATGGCTTGTTATGCACAACAAGGAGATAAAAATTCAGTACTTGAGCTTTTTCATTTATTGGAAACAAGAGGTTTTGTCCCTGATGAATATTTTTTGGCGGTTTTAACGGCTTTTTGTAATGCTGGTTTGGATTTTGAGAGTGAGAAATGGATGGAGAGAATGAGAGTTGAGTATGGTTTAGAACCGGCGTTAGAATACTACACCTGCTTAATATGTGCAGTGGGAAGAGCTGGAAGATTGGAGGATGCAGAGAGGATCGCAATGGCAATGCCATTTGAACCTGATGCAGCAGTGTGGAGGGTATTGTTATCTTCTTGTATTGTACACGGAGCAGCTGATATGGCTTGGAAAATGGCACAGAGGTTATTACAAATAGACCCTTATGCTTACTCGGCTTATGCAATGGCAGCTAATATATTATCGAGTGCAGGACGGTGGGATGAAGTTGCAGAAGTGAGGAAGACAATGAAAGACCGGAGAGTGAAGAAAGGAAGGTGGGAGGAATTGGATTGAAGTGAAAGGGAAAGTTCATGTGTTCTTGGCGGGTGATAGAAGGCATGAGAGAGTTAATGAGATTTATGCGAAGCTAGAAGAGTTGATGGAAGACTGTGAGAAGTTAGGATATGTGCCAATTTGGGATGAGATGTTGCACAATGTTGAAAAAAAGGAGAAAAGAGAAGGGCTTTGGTATCATAGTGAGAAACTGGCTCTGGCATTTGGGTTGATGAGTGGATCACATCCAGGGAAGGCATTGAGGATTGGGAAGAATTTGAGAATTTGTAGGGACTGTCATGAGTCTTTTAAGTATAATAGTAGAGTCGTGGAGAGGGAGATCATTGTGAGAGATGTTAACAGATACCATAGATTTTTAAATGGTGGCTGTACTTGTGGTGATATTTGGTAGTTTAATTATTCAAGATTGATCACCATTATGTTCTTCATAGAAGAAGAGTTGCAGACATCCTTGGTGAAGCTTACATGTTTTCAAGTGAATTTGGGATGTCTGACCTCAATTTGAATATCATAGATTTCCTTCATGAGTTTGGCAAATTTGCAACCGTGACTTTGATGGTCTCAATTACCTATGAAAAGAATGAATAACTTTATCGGTATTTTTTTTTTTTTTTGTAAAGAATGAATAAATTTCGTAAACCTTACCTATTATTTCGTTAAAATACAATATCATTGGGTGGTTATAAAATATACAATTTTTTCCTAAAAAATTGTAAAAATTATTGAAAAAACCTAAGAATCCGTCATTTTTAATTGTATTTTAATAATATTGTAAAGGATTAAAAAAAAATAATTGTAAACCATTAATTTTATGAAAATGGAGGACAGCCTCAAACTAGTTCGGACTAGCCTATTTGTTGTCGGGTTGAGCAGTGGGCAGACTAAGGCCCAAGATTTAAGGCCCGGTCCAGAGGAACATAAGAGAGTATAACTATAAGATACATTATGTGCCAGATGAGGTGGCAAGTCTGCTACGTCATTCAGTGTCCAACATAAAAAAGATAAATAAATTTCAAAACCATAAATTTCAAATGAGTAATCGACCTATTCCCACCCAAGGTTTAGCCAAATCCCAAGTTAATACCCCTAGTGACTGTTGGGTTATGACAGATGCTATTACCAAACTGCCCTTCACCCCATTCCAAACCACCTTCACCACATTCCAAACCACCATGGCACCACCACAACCAGCCAAACCACCAACACAGTCCATTCTAAACCACCCCACCCCGCCCCATCCCAAACCACCACCACAACCATCCAAACCACCACATTCCAAACCCAATGGCAACCACCAAAAATCACACCATTTCAATAAAAAAAACAAAAAAAACATAAAACAAAATACTAAGTACTAAATACAAAAGCAAAAAACAAAAAATAAAATAAAAACCCTAAGGAGAGGAGGCTTAAACAAACGTTGAAAAGTGAGAAATCGGGGACGGAAAGCATGGGGTTATTGGAGAGGGCTCTTTGATGAGTTGAATGGTGCACTTAATGAAGATTTTTAGTGATGGGGCTATCGGAAAGAAGCTGGCAGAGTGCGACATTTGAGGTGAAGGGTTGTAATAGTCGCTTTCTACTCAAATACTCATAAAACATGTACATAATAAAATACATATAAAATAGCATAAAAAGGTTGGGCCCAAATTTTTCTTTTATTAATTATATACATTCTTTAAATACAAAAAGTTGTGTCATGTACAAAACAACAAAACAAGGTGGACAGTGTAGCCATTTCCCTTCGCTTGCCGACGCCCATCCGACCGTGTCCTCACCTAGATCCTGCAAAACATGAAAAACAACGGGGTGAGCACAACTAATGCTCAGTAAGTAAATCCTCTACTCATCTATCCCCGTAACTCTTTCTCTCTAATTCTTTCCTTACAATTCTCATTTACTCTCTCTTTATACTTCTCACTATTTTCTCTTTCTCATAACTCTTTTTACTAACTCTCTCTAGTAGTCACGGCCTCATTTTACCGGAGGCACGGCCGGGACTCGCTCCCACTCTACGTGACTTCTACTCATTCTAGCCGATCGGACTCGGTTATGCATGGATTCGGAACCCTTGGCCATGTGAGTGTATAATCTCTCTCTCGAGTACTCGGGTATAGCCCTCATCCGCATTCACTCTCACGGGCTACACCACTTCTCTCTCTCATACTCATGCCGCTCTCTCAATGCGGCGTACATGCGGGAAACTCTACCCATTACTCACGGGTTCCCCATCGCATAACCTACTCTATTCTCTTTTCTCTTCGTTCTCTAGTGCTCGTTCTCTCTTTCTCTTTCTTTACTCTTAAAGTAGCTTATATTCACATTCTCTACTATGTCTCAAGCTACTTCTTAAGTGCATGAGAAAAATGTGTATGGACAACTCATGCTCACTAATGCACTTATGAAATGCCAAATACAATATTGCATCAAAACAGTCATTCTGCACAGGTTGCACTAAAAAGGGCATAACTTGCGTTATACACATCATATTGCTACGGTTTTGGTCTCGTTTTAAAGCTTAAAAACAGGGCTACAACTTTTATGTTTTGGTCTCTGCCCAGTTCAATTCGTAAGATGCCCAAAATTCACTTAGAAAGTCACGGCTGTGACAGGGCAGATTTCATCTAGGCATTTCCTCAAACAACTCATGTGCATACCAAAGCTCTACTTATCTATAACTCTACTCTTCTCTTTAATCATCCAAAATGGGAGGAAAACTCCCTCATACAATCTAATCTCCTGTCAAGGCAAAACACTCCCATAGGGTTTGCTCAAAACTTCCTCCAACTTCAAGCAAACTCAACCCATCATCATGCCATCACAACACTTCTCATAACTCAATTAAATTCATATCAACATAGATAAATATTCATAACATCTCAATTTCTCAGCAAGCATAATACATACATGATCTCTACTCAAATAAATTCTTAAATCTCAATTTAGTTTGGATTTACTTACCTTGGGAAAAAGTGACTTCTCTAGCACTTTTCCTTTCCTTTGTTGTCTTGTCTTCTCTCTTCAACTTAAAACAACAACAAGAACAATAATAACAATATAAGACTTCAATATAACCATAAGCAAAACTCACATCTAAAGCAAGAATCCTTACCTTAGGATGCTTTAGATGAAATCTCTACTCAAAATTACTCAAAAGCTCTCTTAAATCCCTTAGAAATCTTAGGGAAAATTGAATGGAAGATTGAGAGAAATTAGAGAATGGATATGGCGGGGGAATGGATGTAAAATGAAGGGTTTATTTCACACCCTTTTTAAGCATATTATAACTATCATTTCCAATTTTGCCCTTACTCTTCCTTGGAAATTACATCCATAACTTTGATTCTTTGCAAATACACCCTTATTACCAACACATTCTCTATTAATTTCCTTACATTTTACCCCACTATTCCTACTAATTAGGGGTAGAATGGTCATTATGCCCCAAGGAAGCATTTCTCAGAAAACTCAAGAAACTTTTATTAGGCTCGTCGCGCGGTGAAGAACTTTCTTCACCTCGGCGAAACAGGGCAGAACCTACCCGGGGTGTAACTCCTCCTCGCCGCGGCGAAGCTTCTTCTTGCCCCGGTGAAGATTGGATTCAAACTTCACCAAAACTCAACCAATTTCAAGACAACCATTCAACCAACTCAACATACAAACTCAATTGATACTGAAACAGTAAACTTTTAACTAATATAGCAAATCTTAGTACGTCTCAAGCGGGGCATTACAAGGGTGACGGCGAAAAGGGGGGGGGGGGGGGGGGGGGGTAGTGGGTTGGGATGGTGAGGCATCGGGGAGTCGATAAATGGGGTAGGGGGCAATTCCCGTCGTCGAAAAGTGCCTGAAAACTGCTGGGGACGACCGGCGAACGGCGAGCTGGTGCGGCTAGGGGGTGATGGGGTTTTGATGAGGGTGGCAAGATGAACCAGCGGTAGTGGAGGGAAAAAGAAGAAGATGGGAGGAGGCAGTAGAGATAAGGAAGAAAGGGAAAGGGAAGACGAAGAACATGGGAGGAGGAGGCGGAATGAGGAAGAAATGGGAAGGGAAGAGAAACAAAAAAATCACCAATTTGCCCTTTCATTGTTAAAATAGAGGCAATGGTGTTAATTTAAGAGTAAGTATTTGGAATAAATGAAACCAGTGGTATTAACCTAGGATTTCGTTAAACCTTGGGTGGGAATATGTCGTTTAGTCATTTCAAATTTCAAAATTTTCAAACCCAAAATTTGACATATTAGCATAACCCTATATCAAATCCTATTCCCCTAGAATTTTAAAACCCTAAAATTCGTACCCCAAAATCATTTGAACCCTACAATTTTTCCAAACCCAATTTCAATTTTGTAAAACCTTAGCCAACCCCTATGTTTTGTTGAATGATAAACTGACAGGTAAAATGATAACTTCTTGTTAAGATTTTTGCCGTGACGCAGAAGTTGTAAATAATATAGTAGCAGAAATATCAAATATAATTTTTAATCCCACCCAAGTAGCAAAAATGATTCTCTCTTCACTCTTTTGGCTCTAAATGGCGGACAAGTTTTTTGTGTCTGATCGTTTCTGTTCTGTATTGACATCTCAATTGTGCATGTAAGTGAGTACCCTTTTAAGTTTCTGTTTTCACCATTTCCTATCTGAATCTTTGTGTTTTTGAATTCTACATCTCAATTTAGCATTTGGGTAATTGTTAGTGTCAGAGTTTATATTCATTGATTATTGGTGTAGTTTTTATGTTTTAATCATTGTTTTAAAAATGGGACCGGAGGGCAACCTGCTTTGCTAGCCGGGTCACGGTTCAACCGGTCCAACCGGTTGGACCGTCGGTTGGACCAGTGACATCATTACATATCATGATCAGGAGCATCTAATTGCTGGCACATGACCCACGGTACTCCTGTATCCTGAGATACAGCCATACTTGCTGCCCATTTGATATATGACTTTGCAGCAGCCCCGTAGGCCAAATCAATGTTTCCATACTCATTTTCAATCTGGCAAAACAAAAATGGCGAAAAAAATAAGAACACTGTCAGCGATTTTACTCTTCAATAAAATAAGAAAGTCAAACAGTAATCAACATATGACTCATTTTATTAATTATGAAAATACATCAATTGATTAGAGTTCACAAATAAAGCCAAACACCATCATCAGTAAAACATTATTAAAAACAAAATAAGGACCTGTGATAAAATGATGGGTCCTCCTTGAGAGTTGAGAGGCATAAAGTTTCTCCTGCTTCAGCAGACCAACAATTTTGGTTGTAAATCGCTGCATTTCAGCCTGAAACAGAGAACCAAGAAATTTAATAACCGATAAATCAATAAACACCAATAATCAACAAACTGAAAGCATAAAATAGGCATAGTGAAAACCTTGTATGGT